AAAATAAAAACTAATTTCAATTTTATGCAAAACCATTCATCACATGACTAATCAGCAAGAAAAACACAATCTGATTCGTTACTGAGGCAATACAGCCCAGTGGTTAGGAATGCACGTTTGTGGTCAAATCCTAGCTCCCCCACTTGTCAGCTCTGTGACATTAGAAAATGTATTTAGGGGCACCTGGGTGGCTCAGTGGGTTAAGCCTCTGCCTTCGGCTCAGGTCATGGTCTCAGGGTCCTGGGATTGAGCCCCGCATCAGGCTGTCTGCTAAGCAGGGAGCCTGCTTCCCCCTCTCTCTGTCTGCCTCTCTGCCTACTTGTGATCTCTGTCTGTCAAATAAATAAATAAAATCTTAAACAAAAAAAAAAGAAAGAAAGAAAATGTATTTAATTTCTCTCACTGTCTATTCACTCATCCATCAAATCAGTGACACATACAGCTTTACCTCACGTGGCTGCCATGAAATCACACACGATCATGGCCCAAGATCGGTGCCTTGATAAATAAGCTCAGGTGCCATGAGGATGGGGATTAAGGCCAGAGAGAGGATACCTTAGCTGGGGATGAAAGAGGGAAGGCCTGAGGGAAGGAAGCCCAGAGCCGGCGTTGAGCTGGGGCAGGGCCCACAGAGAGGAGACTCAGTGAGTCACAGTAGAGAGGAGACACACGTCCACTCCCACACTACTTCGGGCAAAGCACCAGGGATACAGAAATGGAAAAGTTACAGATCTTTTAAGAGCTCAATTTTCAGACCAGGAGCAGCCTTAAACACAAGGGGATAATTAGAAAACAATGAGATGAGGGCAAGGAGAGAGACCCCAAGAATTATGGGGTATAAAAGAGGTCCCTGAGGGAGTGGGCAGGAGGAACGTCAAGGTAGGAGGAAGTAACCCCTGAACCCTTCCTCACAGATGAGGAGGGATATAAGCCCAGTGAGGGCCTATATGGGTCTTCTCTGCCTGAGGAAAAAACCCCCCGAAGAAAGGGGTGGAACCTGCAGGAAAGCTGGCCCTGCTAGATAAAGGTAGGACAGGTTATCAAGGGCTTTATCTCCCAAGCAGGAGAAGCCACTTAAAGTGTTTTTAAACCTGGCAATCATAGGATCAGATCTGCTCTACAGATGCAAACACTCCAGGTTCCTATGGAAGATGCATCTGAGGAAGGGGAAAACGGACAGCCTCCGCAGCGGTCCAGGGAAGGGAGAAGACAGTCCGACTTACCCTCCATCCCTCACCCGCACTCTGTGTGCCTGAGAAATCAAACTGCCAGGTTGCACCATGGCGTTTCACTCTGCCTTTGCTCATGCTGACTCTTGGCCCGGCATTCCCTTCTCCATTCCTTATTAACTCCTCACTTTTCAAGCAGCAATCCAGGCATCCCTCCTGCAAGAAGTCTTCCATGATTACACCGGAGGCTAAACTTCTGGTTTGTCTTCCACAACCCTCTGGAATATCATTTGCTCTAGTATCACCAAATTATGTTGCAATAATGTGCTTCACTGACTGGCAACCCGCTAGATGGAGAGCCCCAGAGGGCAAAACAGCATCTTCTTTGACTCCCCAGTGTGTGCACACTTGCCGGACCCAGAGACGCACTTAATAAACATTCACGGAGCTAAATGGAATGCCCGGAACCTCCATCATCCGGCCTCATCTCCTCAGACCTCTTTCACCAACACCTCCCACTCCGATGTTTTATTCCCCAAATGGCTTCACACACACACACACACACACACACACACACACACACACACACACACTCCATACCGTATTTTCCTCAAGGCTTCATTCACTTTGTTCCCTCCCCCTCACCACAATTTCCAACTGCCTAGATTCCATCGATCCTCTTTACCAAGTTGAAACTTTAATACTTAAAAGGAAGCCCACGCTTCACAAAGCCCAGAGCAGCCCCAAGCCCTCCACCCAGCCTGCTGCTCCCGCTGCATCCTCTGCCCCATTCTGACTGCCTCCCCCCACCAGGGCCTCATGAACCACTGTGCGCGGGGTTGGGGGGGGGGGGGCGGGGACCGAACACAGAATGCATCAGGATGCAGGGAAGCCATCTGGGCAGGGGTGGGGGGGCCAAGACCGCCAAAGGGCAGTGAGGTTTTGTCCCTGTTTACTTGTTTTAAAATAATGAAGGGGAAGGAAAATAAAGTTCTAACTGGACTTAATTTACAGCTCTTCCTCCCTCAGGACTTCAAAAGGAATCCGACATGTGGCTGGCCGCACGGTCTGCTCCACATTGGATATGCTCAAGTGAAAAGCTGCGTCACCCTGCCCTGCCCCCAGCATCTCCAAAAGGCCCTGGGACAAGCCCGTGGGATGGTCTCTTTCAAGCAGAGCACGTCACCGTGCCATGCTATGAAGCCCAGCCGTTACTGCTAGGACAGTGTCGTTTTATCTTTTTATTTGGAAAGGGGGCACACAACGATCTTCTCCACCCAAACACTACAAAGAAAATCTGTTCCAGAGACTTTACCATGCATGATGTAACGTACTCCGTAAGTTCTGCTCTTACTAGGCTATAAATGACTCTATCTGAGGTTCTTGGGGTCTCTGGGGAAAAGCGCTACATAAATATTTTCTTTTATGTAAAATAAAATATAGTGACGCTGCGAGTTTTAAGTGGTAAGTGGAGAAAGCACTACTGCTCTGTTAAAGACGTTTTTAAAAGGTCGTTTAGAAAAAAACATAGTTATGGGATATTTGAGAGATCATGTTCTTACTGGTCTTGATTTGAAAATACCTTTGCCTTTGTAGCTTTGCATAACATTCTCGAGTCAAAGATCATCTCATAAAAATAAATCTAAGCACGTGCTTTCTTATCCCCCTTTATGTTTCATACTCTCTGCGTCGGCAAGTAAAGAGCTAATAACTCACTTTACAACCATCTGGAAAATGAGCAAAGGACAGTGAGCACAGCAAATGTAATTCCGGACACCCACCGCAAAGCCCTCTGGGAAAACAAGTCTCAAAGACAACCTTAGAAACTGCCAGTAAGATGGGGACAATATTTTCAGGTGGAATTCCTAAAATCACTTCCAGTGGTTTCATACCAGAAATGTACCAGTGCAGTATGAGAAGGCAGCTGTGTGCATAGGGGCAAGGGGGACCCAGGGAAGGGGGTGGGGGGGCACTGAAAACTTAGTCACGTCAGGACAGTGTGCCTAAAATAACTAGTAATGATTCTGACAAAGAATGTATAACATGCTGTGAGTCATAATTGAAAGAGCTTCTTTAGGCCATCCAACCATCAAAGACTCTTGAGTTATGAGTCCAGTTTGTGTGAAAGTAATTCCCCTCCCACAGACATCGTAAATTAATTGCTTGCCAACTATAAACTACAGTTAATGAAACTGCATTAATGGAATAAAATTATATTTAATGAAAATGCATTTTCTAAAGGTTGCTTGGACTTCCTGTGGCCATAAAAAGGAAAGGGAAAGCAAAAGAGGTGGGGGGAGATGGGGGTGGACAGGCCAGGAGCCTCTGAAAGTTGCCTGATTTCCCATTTCTCTCGCTGGATCTACATGTTTGAGATTATGTAAGGACCTACAGACTTCAAGGTGGACGTCCCTTCAGAGAAAGAAAGTATGGCTTCAGAGGTGAATTTCAGAGAGCTGGTAGAAGTTATAACCACATTTTCCCCCATATGGTCATCCCGAGACTGTTTTATTGGGGCACTCTGGACACTCTGAGACACAGCAATCCACGAGTTTCACCTCTGAGGACAGACAATCACGGCTCCTGGATTTTTGAAATTCAGGACCACTCGTGAGCTGCGGTACATGGAAAACTGAGATGACCGTTTCTCCCCCGCAAGCTTTCTGGTTTGCCAGGTAACCCTGACATAGCATCACATCTCTCCACACCACAGAGACTGAAAGCGGAGTGATGGGGACCGGCCTCAGCACCTCACTCTTCCACGACAGGTGCAGGCAGAGGGCAGAGGGGACCCAGGGTGAGCTCCTGGTGGCGGCACTTCCTCCACCGTGGTGCTCCTGCCAAACTCCCCAATACCTGCCACCTCCCCACCTTCTGCCTGGCAACCCTCTTCTCAGGTCCTGTTAATATAGTTGGACTGTGCTCCCAGATACTCTTTAGATAAAGGGCATATTCTCAGAACAGTTCAGTTCAGGAGTGTAGGATACGCTCATTGAGGTTCTACAGAATTATGGAAATTTACATACTCTGAAATAGGTTTTCCATATAAACTGTGAAACTTCAGTAGGGTCCCTCTGCACCCTGGTAGCCGCACATCCAGACCAGTGCCATCCCACCAACGAACAACTCTCCCCATGTCCACCTGTCCTCTGAGCCACTGCCTCATTAACCATCTAAAGAGACAACGCTCACCCTGCATCTAGGAAGAGAGAGAGGCGAGAACCTTCATGGCTGTGTGTCCACAGGCTTAGGGTGCATGAGCAAAGGAAAACAGATATTCAAAAGCTGCTCCTCCTCCTCCAAAATGCAAACAACATAGAAACGAGCTATTTAATTCTGATAATGAAAGTGGAACTAGACCAGGGAAAGCTCCTTAGCGCCATATCTGTTATAAACAGAAAAAATATATATATACTGGTTTTTTGGAACCCAAGGATGGAAATAGCTGTGTCACACTAAACCATACTTCCCAAAGCCACCCTCTCTGTTAGAATCCTCTCTGTCTAATCTTCTAGTGGTTTTATTATATAAATTTTGGTCTGAAAGGGACAATATATGAGAAAATCAGCCAGGCAAGAAGGAACTAATCAGAATTACGAGAAACGACTTGGTTACAAATATTCCACTGGGTATATACAACAACCAAAGGTTGTAAATAAAGCCTATCACATCACCAATGTCACAAAAGTGCTGCCATTAAGTTCTTCCAACAAGAAGCCACAGAAACGATCTCCCCCAGAGGGGTAAGGAACATTGCCGCTATTTGCATTCCAACTCCGATTTTCGTGGCGAGTGACATGAGCAAGGAAAGAAAACACAAATAAGTAGTACCTGGTTTTCTATGGCTTTCCTGTTCTTTGGGTCGCTCACAATGGACAGCTGCAACTCTGCCATCTTTTTCATCTTGCTGTCCATATCTATCTTCTGAATGAGGTTTTTCGTCTGGTTCTTGAGCAGCCGAACCGTGTCCTCTTTCCCATGCTTCTTTGCAAAAAGGGATGCACAAGCTGAATGTATGGCAGTGACCCAGTTTTCAAGATCGGTCTGGCTAGAGGCCTAAACACAGGGGGAGCAACATTAAAATGGTTGTCTTTAAGCACTGGGAATATACATAAGGGTTCTTCTTTCTCTGATCTTCACTTCACACACAGTGACTACACACATTTTTTCACATAAGAAAAATATTTTAAAAATAAGGTTGCGTCTCAATAAAGCAGAACAAGTAAATTACTATGATTCTTAGCAGGCTGAAAACCCCTTCTGCTCCCTCGATGTCCAGAAAAACTACATACATTCAAGCTGTGGGTTGATCGTCCAGTGATCTCTGGGATCATACAATAGGACCTATTGGAAGAATTTCTTAGAACTAAGGATATTTTGCCTGAGTCACAAAACACTCATCTCATACTTGCCCCTAAGAAGTTCATGCAGATTTTTAGAATTTCTTTCAAAGATTTTATTTATTTGAGGGAGTGAGAGAGAGAGCACAAGCAGGGGGAGGGGCTCAGGGAGAGGGAGAAGCAGACTCCCCACTGAGCCGGGAACCCAATGCAGGGCTTGATCCCAGCACCCTGGGATCATGACCTGAGCCGAAGGTAGATGCTTAACCGACTGAGCCACCCAGGCATCCCAGTCCATGCGGATTTAATCTAATTCTCTTACCCTCCCTACAATTCAGATTAACGGCAATTCCTTACATGGCTTTAAAACATAAGTGAGGAGAAGGAAAATCAAACCTCAGGTCCTGGATCTTGTATAAGTCAAGTTATGGACAGCAAGAAGACTAAAGGCCCAGTGAGTTCACCTGGTACTGGAAACAGGAAATCCTGTCTGTGCAGAGAATTCTAGATTCCCAAAGTCAGCAGAGAGAACACTGGGCAATTCTGCAGGGATCCTGAGAGTGTCCAGGACCAATGTCATTGAGACTCCTGAACCAAGGACCTAGGAATCTTCCATGAACCTTTTTGGTCAGATAGAACCTGCAGCACTGGGTCTACAGGCAGCACTGGATTTAGCCTGGGAATCACGTCAGAATTATACTTCACTTCCTTCACTTCCACCCCTTTTGAGTTCATCAATAACAGCACCAATGGTTAGAATTTCTTCAGCACTTAACACATACACATTATTGATCCTTAAAGCGATCCCGCAAACTACTGTTATCCTACTGGCTAACAGATCCATAGCTCAGAGAAGATCAGTATGTTCTCCAAGATGGCGCCCACACCCAACGGCGGCACCAGGATCTCACGCCTAAGGCTGACACCAACACCGCAGGCTTGGCATCCCACCAGGCTTGTCAACGTTGCATTTGCTAGAAAACTACTAAAAATCATAATGGGAGACAACTTGAAACTTAACACCCTGAGTCCACTTCTACAGGAAAATGAGACCTTCCAGCATTTGTCCTTAAGGCTTTCCTGAAAAGCTTCTTTTTCACTTCTACTGGGATTCTAGGGAAAAATCTAAAGCTCTCCTAGCTATATTCTGTAGGGTTCACTTAAGAGCCTCCACTCAGAGAATTTCAGACCTTGCACCACTAGACCATGAGCTACGCCAGAACAAGGACGATGGTTTTCTCTCTTCAAATCCTCGAGACCATTCCAGGGGGCACAGCTTGGAACTTGAAGAGCGTTCCAAGAAATGCTTGCTGTGTGAATGACTGGATGAACATGGGCCCCATGCCACCTGATGGTAAGCAGGGGCCAGTTCTCTTAAGCCCCAACCCAAAGCCTAACTAGGCTTTTGCTCTATTGCATTGGTAAACTACGACTTCATTCTGTTCCTTCTTGTCCTCCTAGCACACAAGCCATCACCTCGACCCTCCATCCAGAAAGTTCGGCAGTACCTGGAAAAGGTGGACATCTCCAAAGGAGTTGCTGAGGCAGAACACATTTTCCTTCTTGGGATGTTCTGGGACTGACTGCACTATGCTGTCTTCTGCAAACAGTGCACACCGAGGGGCGCTGCTCTGATCCGTGGAATTCTTCCCATAGGTCTCATAGAACAGCAGGGTGCAACCTAGGAGACAGAGAAGCAAATTACATCTCTGTCACAGTCTTGAGGATCTGGGAAGGCAGGGAGAAGGTAAGGGACACATGAAGGAAAGAAAGGAAGGAGGGAGGGAGAGTGGGAGTGAGGTGGGGGGGGAAATAGAATGAGACAACCAATCATGTAATACAAAAGGAAATTCTGGTATCCAAAGTATGCCTTGTTTTTATCAGCGGTAACTCAGGTGAAAAGGAGAGGTTTTTGTAAACATATCATAGTAATAACAATACCAAGCATTTATTGTTGATTACTCTGTCAGAAACTCTTCTAAGTTCTTCAATGGCTAATTTAAACCCCACAGCAGCCCCAGAAGGCAGGTGTGGTTATTAACCCCATTTTACAAATGAGAAATCCAAGGGCTTATACCACTGTGCAGGTCCCACAGCTGGACTGTGGCAGAGCAGGGAACTGAACCCAGGCGCTGGCCCCAGAGCCCTCCTTCTCCACCATAGCCCTGCATTATTTAAGAAATCAATGCAGAGAGAACACCCATGTTCATTAAATGAGGGAGCTTCTACACTTACAACTGGTGGTAACAAGAAAAGGAGTTTACCTGCAGAACTTTGCCATTTATAAGAAAGTACCTGGTTAATTCTCCAAATGCCACATAAAATAATTTAATATTAGTGTATTCTCTTATCCCACAATAAGAGGAAATAACACCACAGATTTTACTGTTTAGATGAAGAGGGGGAAATGAAACTAAATATCCCTTGATTTTAAAATAGGACACAAAAATGCTTGCAAATAGCTAGCTTTCCCCTGTAAATTAAAGAATTGTTGTAGGTAGAAGTTATGAAGGCTCTACTTTGATAATTAGGAGTGCCTTATAATTATTAGATGCAGTTTTTAAGCAAATTCTAAAATGCTCACAAGTACATTCTCTTATTGAAAAACCTTCATCTGATAAACACTTCTGAGTACTTCTCATGTGCTGAGCCCTGGCATCCAAATAAGGCGGATACACCATCCCCTTGCTTTGCACAGCCTCTCCTGCTGATGTGAAGAAGCACCAGCTGCTCTCAGCCACACAGCCAATGAATGAGGTCCAGTGCATGACTGCCCCTCTAAGTTAAAAGTCCTCACTCATAAAGGTCTAAATGTTAAAACAAAACAAAACAAAACAAAAACCCATTTCATGCTAGCCAGTGTCACTTCCTCCTTCGAAAACCCATCTTAATCTGGACACATAAGCTCAGATCATGGAACCCAGATCAGAAGCACAGAAGCCAGGAGAACAAAATGCTGGCCGGTAGCTCTGCCCTCAGAAAGAGCATCATGATACTTTCCCCCTCCATGGTGCTTAACGATCTCAAGAAGCTCTAGCAACCTTTCTGCCTGCAAACAAAAGGCACCCACACTAAGGCTAAGAGATGCTTCCAGAAGAAGGGAGAGCAGCAGGCTGCTCTCCGGCCAGGGTTGCTCCTGCAGGGTTGAGCCAGTCTTTTTCCAGCCACTGATGCACATAGAAACAATGTCCCCAAATCTTTCCATCAGGAAAGGCCTGTCTGACTGCTGCTGTGTATGCAACCTGCCATGACCTGGGGACCCAACGGCCAGGGTCAAGGTGACAGACCCACGCCAGTTCTGCCCAGTTCAAATTCTTTCCGATCGGTGAACATTCACTTCCCAGCTTCCCCACCATTGTACGCCCAGTGGCTGTGGTTTGAGTCATGACATCTAGAGGAAATGAACACAACCGTGGGCAGGTGCCAACATGCCGCCAACTCGAACGCCCCATCGACCGCGGCAGGGTGAAACCAAAACAGGACATGTCATGTTAGACCCAGGCCAGGAGGTAAAACAGTATGCACGATTTCTTTGCTATTGAACTTAAAGAACAGGAAATCAGTGGTAAATCTATTACATCAAAGTTAACCTCATCTGTGTCTCCCATGCTGGGGCGATAAGGCTGAGGGAAAGCGGGGCACCCCTGTCTGCAGCATCTCCCGTCCCCGTGGCCCCCACCCAGGGCTGCGGCCAGCAGCTCTGCCCGGTCCCTGCCAGGAGCTGGGGTTGGCCTGGAGGGCTGCCAGCAGGGGTTCTTCTCGCCACTGTAGCAGAAAGAGAAAACAGACCAGAAGAGCAGCAGAAGTACGAGAATAGATAAGGTGCCAGTAGAAGTATCACCAGTGGAAAAAGGGAGTTCGTCTCATCTTCCCTGAAACCCACCTTTTCTCGACACCCTCTCAAGCCACACTCATCACACCACCCCCTGATGCGTGGCAGTACCGGGATCCCCGAATTACGGCAGGAACCCCTCTCCTGACTCACTGGAAGACCTACGGAAAGCAGCATTACCTTTGTTAAAAATGTTATGACATCCTCCAAGCCCTAGAAAACATTTATGCCCTTAGCACACTCGACACATGACACAGTTATACAACTAGTGCTTGTAGCTGCTCTCTCCAGAACACCATAAATACGTCAAGAATTTGTAATTCTGCTTAAATGTACACGCTTGTATATGTTCATATATATACACGTGTGTGTGTGTGTGTGTGTGTGTGTGTGTGTGTAACTAAGATTAAACCAAACAGTTAAGTTCAAACATTACAACTTGGATTCCAAGCCAAGAAAGTTCAACTCAGCCTAGTGAATTCCCAGAGGAAAGAGGTATAGAAAGCCACATGGAAAAAGTTATGCTGGAAAAAAACATCTTTATCGCAGAACTTTCCTTGGCTGCAAAGGGAAGGAAGGAATGTGTGCTTGATAACATTCACACTTACAAAGCACCCTTTCTCCATGGGTCTTAAAGGGTTTTATGGGCAAGCACCAAGGCATCAGAGTGCAGGCAAGAGCGCAGAGCCTGGGGCAGTCAGACGACTCACGGCCGTCCCTGCCACGGGGGTCAGTAGCAGGAGCCCCCGCGGTAGCCCTCAGGGTGCAAAACCCTGGAGGTGGGCTCTTCTGGCTCTAAGAGAAACCTGCCTAAATCTCCTCCCCCAGGAAGCCCCCCACGATCTGGCTCTGCACGAATGTCTTCAGAAGCAGGGAAATCAGGAAGAGCGCCTCCTTCCACTTGCTCATGGCTCTGGTCACTGCTGTACTTCTAATTCAGAATCAGCTTGCCATCCTAACCCCTGGGGAACCAGAATAAATTCAGTGCCCCTTCCACAAGACTGCTGCTCACTGCCCACCCCACTCCTGGTCTTCTCCAAGCTAAGTGTTCCTAAATGTACACCATATAGCATGGCTCTAACAACCCCCTGCTGTCACCCTGCTGTCAACCCCTGCTGGGGTTAGGTCATGGACATACAAACACACACCATCACCAGCCTCCACCACCACTGGAGTGGGAGTTGGCCGGCGGGGGGGAGGGGGGTTCAGAGCCATTAAAACAGGCAGGGAATGACTTCCCAAAGCATTCATTTAAACAAACAAATTTTACATTAAAAAAATAAATACAATAAATACAATTTTTAAAAAAGCAAAACAGAATCACGTCTCACACGGAGTCAAGTGCATCTCTTTCAAACAACATGCCGGAAGGAGGCAGCTTCAGACTGTGATTCATAATCAATCCCAGATGCTCGCTCTCCTGAGAAGACATTTTCCCTCCCCTCTCCAATCAGGGATACTTCAGGTGGAACCTATTCAAGAATCCCCATCTTGCTTACTAACAGGGCTCCTGCACTATCGTGCCCCCAAGAATAGGAATGGCCGGCTCCACCCAGGGCAGAGGGAGGAGAAACCGCTGTGGCTATAGAACCCGGGAGAGGTGGAAGAAGGTAGCCGAAAATCACATTCACTCTTTTAAATCATATTTACTTTTATCTTGACTCCATCACATTGGAAATTCATTCAAGGAATGACCTACAGGGGCACCTGGGTGGCTCAGTGGGTTAAGCCTCTGCCTTTGGCTCAGGCCATGATCCCAGTGTCCTGGGATCAAGCCCTGCATTGGGCTCCAGGCTCAGTGGGGAGCCTGCTTCCCCCTCTCTCTCTGCCTGCCGCTGTGCCTACCTGTGATCTCTCTCCCTGTCAAATAAATAAAAACTTTTAAAAAATAAAGAAAAGAAAAAAGAAACAGCCTACAGCTCAACCCCCACCCCCCCAAATCTCCTTGTAATGCTCAATAGCCACAGTTCCCTATCCTGTACTTGGATGGTTATTTGATTATTAAACCTGAGAACATAACGTATCCCTTCAAACTGCTAGGTTCAACCCCTTATTCCAAGTCTCCAAATCTCGCCCATCATTTGGCATAAGAACCTGTCTCCGCAGGATGCCCAAATGAGAGGTAAGCTCTTGGGTATTCCTCAGCCACAATGTATCACAAGCTGGAAAAAAGGACTGGGACTTGGGTATTATAAACCATCCAGTTTGCTAGGGAAAAGCATCACTTAAAGGCAAAATTCCTTCCAAAGTGGATCCTTCCCACACAGGCTTCTGGGTTATTATGACCCAGCTCCCCAAGGCGGGGGTGGAGGCATCTCATAATTTCTACAAGGTAGGGCGGGGGTGGGGGGGTAGCAAGAAAGGAGCTCCGTGGGACAGCTCAGGCCTTCCACACATCGTGTCTGCAGACAGGATTCCCATTTCTGCTTTTCTCCAGGACGGGGAAGGCTGTCGCCCAATAATGAGGTCTGGCTTTGAACACCACATTCAGTGCCTCTGACAGAGTCACAGGATGACTGTGCACACATGACTGTGAGGCTGCCCTTCTGCTCGCATCTGTGTAAACCATCTTCACATCCACGTAAATCACACCATACTGACTCGGAGCCTTGCTCCTCCTCAGGACATTAAGATCAGTTCTAATCTACGCAACCGCAGTGAGCAAGGCAATTATCATTCTTAAATGATAACATTTCCAAGAAACTTTCATAATCTTAACAAACAAATCCTCACTCCTATTTCCTTTACATTTAAAAAAAAAGGCATTTGTTTGGGATGATGACAATTAGACTTCCTTAGTTTATAAAGGTCAGAGGACATCCAGATGTTCTGTCGTATAAACTGAGGGTCCTTGTGAAGAACAGGATACTCACGATCTGCATTTGGTTACTTATTTGGAAAATTTTACCCCCAGATGCAGAAAAACTATTAAAGAATGGTACGGGAATACCTATAAAATAATAAGCTATAACTATGAAATCCAATCACCATGTATTAGAATGAATAATATATATGAATATTATGTAAGCCATATTCTCCAGGTATGAGAAAGTATCTGTAGCAAAACATGCTGGGAGACATTGTATCAAATCCCTTCACACTGAAACAAATTAACCATAGACTGACTGGTGCTTCCTGGGAGAGGGCACAGCTGGAAGAAATGATTTCAGTGGCCCCCTTGGGTCAACAACGCACTTACCTTTCAGTGTTACCCAGTACTGTTTCCACTTCCTCCGGGCCACCAACTCCAGCTTCCTTTCCTTCTGCAAAGTGACGAGGGGTTTGAAGAACAGCCATCCAGCTTTTCGGACCACCCCTTGCTCCTTCTCAAAGAGCAGATCAAGTTGCTCCAAAGAGCTGAGGGACCCGCTGCTGGAGTCTGCGGTTTCTGTGGACGTTTCTACATTCTCTGTGTTGGTCCTGCTCATTTCCAGCTCCCTCATGAAATTCTCATAAATGTTCTGCTGGAGGGAATCACTGCCAATTGCATGAGCGGATTCGCTTCTCTGGGACAGGATCTGAGCGGAGCCCCCAGACCACAGTGAAGCAGACATCTGGAAGGGCCCCTGCACGTCTGCGTTCAGTCCATCTGAGCGGCTGTCAAAGTAGTCACTGCCTTCCTTGGACCTCGGCTCCTGTGAGCAATGCAGACGACCACCCATCAGAGGTCATGCACATCCAAAGCATCCCTTCCCCAACACTGGAAACACGTCGTCCTGCTGTTTGCTAATGCTGCTGCCAAAAAGCAAGACTCTTAACAAAAATTTATCTTCAAACATTAAGTCACCAAACCAGAAAGAACTGTAGAAATAATGTTGCCCAACCCAATCCAGAGCCAGTGGAGTCAATGCTTAAAGATAGGAATTCACTAAAGACTCCTGACTATCCCACCTCTGACCTATACTGAGCATCAAGAAATTAACTAGTGTATTTGTAACACATCAGTGAAGATTTCTAGGCTGACATTTCTTTGCTGACTGAATTGGTGTCTTCCTGGGAGGAATTCGCGTTCCTCATCCAGGTCTTCCTCCTGGATCCTTTTAAAGGTAGAAAATCTCCAGTTCCAGGGTCAAGGGGTTTAGGGAATAAGTACTCAGTGTTGTCAGGTGTTGTTATGCAAACTTCTCTTCCTCTGCCCAAAAGAGTCAGTCCCCAGCTTCTCCCTACCCTTACCCATCTTAAGACTTGAGGATGTCTACCATCTTATTTTCCTTCTTCAGATATTAAAAACCACACACGTGGGATTCTTCATCTACAAAAAGTATTTCCTAGTAATGCTGTTTTTCATAAACAGTATGTTTTTTTTTTTTTTTACTTAATTTGGGAATTTCTTCCATGAAAGAAATATTCACTCACATCCTTTCATTTGAACATCTATTTTATTCTAGCCATTGGGGATACCAAAGACATGATTCTTAACTTCAACATGTACCACAACATAAAATCAGACACTGGCAGCTCTAAATAAAACTAATATTTATAAAATAATGGCTGCCCCCCATGAGAATACAATGCACTGACAGTCAGTGGCCATGCAGAGCTGAAAACACGGAATGTTTCCTCACTTAGAGAAATCCGGTTATTTAAGAAGAATAACTTTCAGACAGGCCATTCACTGATAAATATCAGTAAGTACATTGTTCAGCAGAGGGTAAGCCTAATTTAAGACTTAAAAGACTCTAACATTCCAGATTTAGAGCTCAGATTAAGGTAAGTCTGCAGAGCAGTGCTCAGTGTAAACATCTACTCAGCTGCTAGAAGACTGTCCATTATATTGCCTTATCCATTAAAATAAAAATAAAATTAAATAAATAATAAATATATAATAATTTAAAATAAAAATGAGTCAAGGCCACTGACCAAAGGCCTTATTCTGAATACTCCACTGCATGGAGGGGTTATCCTTTCTGACACTCTATCCGGAAATCCAGTAGCAAGTACATTTTGTAGGAAAATCATCAGCTGAAGAGCGCTTCTGAATACCCAGGGGCTATAAACAACGGAGCCCCAATCGCAGCTATTACTAACAAAAATATTATTTTCCACTTGTGTTTACACCAGGTCCCATAGTCCTATTTATTTATACACAGATGCTTATGCAAGAATAGAGGAAGTAAGCCAGCTGCAGTGAGTCACTTAGAGAAGAAACTTTCAAAATAGTTTAAGATTTTTTTCTTAAATTGTCACTTCGTTGCTCTTCAAAAACTCCTAAGAGGTGAAGGAATACTTCTCATTTAGCTAGCGTTAACATCATGTCAGCTACGAATGTGACTCTGACTCACAGCCCCCAAACACCGGGATGCCTCAGATACCCAGCAAGAGCTCTAACGGGGTGTTTCAAAACAAGCCAAACTCTGCCAGAGGAAAGACACTCAGGTGCCAAACTTAAATGTGACCCTATAAACATTGTTGACAGCATTTCTCGTAAGAGTCTTCAGTTGGTGGTTGTAGCCCTCACTTTTAAATGTTCCACCACAGCAAAGCGTGACAAATTTTCCTAAGAAACGGGAAAATATAGCATTTCAGCATTTACAACTGATTCTTAGACATGAACTTTCCCAGTTTCTAACACATTTCTAAAGCTTTCTATCGAGAATCCTAATAGCCAGTGACTGATTTTCAGGCTAACAGGAATGTATGAGTGGACGTCCGTCGCTAAGTCGGCTCAGCTGCATTTCCCCATCGCCGTGCTATGTGTATGAAACCAAGGAGTCGTGTTATACGTGTACACAAGGCAGTCTGACTTCCATTTCTCTGCGTGCAGCTAGATCATCCTAAGCAATGGAAAATGTAACTTCATGACCAGGGCACTACCGAAAAGAGGAGAGAGGGGCTCAAGAGAGTTCAGTCTCTCTCGGGAGGTAAAAGAAAACTCCTGATCATCATTCCTCACTTTCTAGGAAAATGTATTCAAATTCACACCTGGCCATTCTTCACATGTCTTTTTCCTTCATCCCACAGGAGAGACCACTAGCTCTCTGTGACTACGCAGCCCTCAAAGGGCCGTGAGGTCTAAAATTAAGAGAGCCTAAAGGCCGGGGTCTCTGCCTCCTGATGTCCGCTGTCACTGCTACCCACCGAACACGCCTGACCCTCCTCCCAGGGCCCAGGGCAGGGTCATTCCTTCTCCTTCCCCCTCCCTCTGAGTTGGACATGACCATGTGACTAGCTTGGGCCAATAAAAGCATGCAGAAGTGACACATGGAAACTTCAAAAGCCAACACACAATTTTCTTTCCTCTTCTGCTGTCATGGCTTGCAGTTTTCCAGATGGAACTGCTCTGTGGACCCAGGGTCCCAGAGAGGAACACTGCAGACCAGAGTGACAGCATGGGAAAGAAAGAAACTTTGCTTGTACTAACCTCGGAGTTCTGAGAGCTTTCTGTTATCTCAGCATAACCCAGCCCACCCTGACTGACAGAAAGTTCACCGAGGACAGGAACAAGGACTCACAGTACACTCCATTAATATTAAGGTTTGTTGGCATCAAACACATACTCCTCTCTAGCACATTCTCTCTGATTACTGTGGTACTCTTTTTCAGCTGTGTATGCTTTTTCACTAACTCACCCTACTGGTTAAAAACCCTAAGAAAGGGTTCCTCTTTTATATTACTTCTTTAAAAAGTCAAAACAAGTAAGTCTCTCCATCATGGTAAGGGTTTCTGGACCTTAGCCCTGCTGGCAGACAGAAGTTTATGTGACGTGAGAATATGCATTCATTTGGTGCCATCTGCCACACTGTCAGGAATTTTGCTCCCATGCACTGACTACATTTTTAAGGATCTAAACCTGATCTCTGCCATAAATCATGAAAGGAAAACAAAGGAGGGAAAAAAAACATGACCAACAAAAGTGGCACACTTTCATCTTGTTGTTAACAAGACGAAAAATTTGTCTTGCTTACCTTTACGGATTATTGATTGTGGGAACATAAGCAAAACTAAAAAGCTGGCTTCACAGGATACTTCTTAAAAATCCAAAGCGGTTCACTTTAACATTCAATAAGCCCAAAGCAACTACCAGTGGCTATCAACAGTACCTTGGCCATGTGTCTCATCGGAAAGAGCTCTTATATGAGGCTTAGTAGAAATGGCTTTGGCCCTGGCTTCTCCACCAACTTGCCATGTCTCTTTCAGGGAAGACCCTCAAACTCCTTAAGCCTTATTTTCTTCATTTTAAAGTGAGGTGGAAGTCCTTTCCGACTTCCCCAAATTCGGACTTTTTGATTATCTAACCAGTCTGTTCTTAACTCCATAGGCTAACAAACCATTCAGAACGAAATCTCTGGATGACCCAGACTTGAAGGAGGTCACTTCCCAGGGGGGCAGTGAGGGCCTGAATGGGACAGAACATGGTCAGTACACAGTGGCAAGTGGTCTCCCTTTAGCTGAACTAAACCTGAATTAGACTCAGTACACTGGTCTGTGAGCCAGGCCACACACGTGGACAGATGAGAACCATACTCTATGCAAACCAGAGATGGGAAGTAAGGGGCTCGAGGCCAGGATCAGTTAGGGGTCCCGGTAAATGACAGCTAAACCTCAGTCAGCCACAGAACACCTGAATCATAAAAGACACAAAAGTTGCCTGTGTGGGATTGCAGCCCCAGAGAAAGCAGGACCTATTTCCCTCATCAGGCTCAACTTCTGTCAGCTGTTCAGGACATGGGACCTGAGAGAAAAGGTCTAATCTCTACTAGGCAGTGGTTGAGTGTAAACAAGTGAGGAGTAAGGCGTTAGCAAATTACTACATTTGGGGATATGAAGAGTTCCGCGGCGGGACGGTGGTCATCTGTTCTTTATCTGTGGGTAAAGTGGGAGCCAGGGGCAACAAAGCATGACACAGGAGGGGTGCTGGTGGTGTGCCTCATGCATGAGAAGGAAATAACTAATAGTAAGTTTTACAGATCTGACACGATCTATTCAGGGAAGGCGTATTCTTGGTCACCCATAAGGCTCTGTAAAATTTTATAATTCCGTATCTATCTAGGATGGATAAAATGCAGTTTTACTAGAGGCAAATTACCCACTCAAATTCTCTTCAACAATGCGACTTATATTGTGTAAGCGAAGGAAAAAAAAGAAAAAGGAAACGCTTTATTCCTTCTACAAATAACTAAAAGTAGAAACACACAAAACAGAAAAGCCAAGAGCAAAAGAATTAAAAACCTAGCAGCGCCTGGGTGGCTCAGTCAGTTGGGCATCAGCTTTAGGGTCAGGTGAGGACCCCAGGGGTCCTGGGATCAAGCCCAGGGTCTAGCTCCCCGCTCAGCAGAGGAGCCTGCATCTCCCTTCCCCTCCCTCCCTGCTAGTTCTTTCTCTTTCTATGTATCTTAAATAAATAAAATCTTTAAAAGAAAAGAAAAAGAAGAACTAAAAACCTAGCACTTACCACTAGTTACCTAAAAAGGCAACCTATTACTTTCCTTCCTGGTGACTAAGCCACTTTGTTTCCCCATTACAACTTTATACATCATAATAAGTATTATCATCATCACAATTCTTTTATCAGGCATTATATTTTTGATATTACGTGTTCTTGGGTACAAGATGTTTTCAAAAACTGTTTGCTAACCCCCTTAGAAGGCAGTGAGATTATACAGATAATTTTTTTATGTATCCCCCAAAATGTTAATTTCCCCCAAAGTAATATCAAGTTCAGGAAAGAGACTCATTCCCAAATAACAATGATCTAGCTCTCCTTTTTGTTTAGGCTTCGAGAATGAGCTCTACAAAATTCTCAGATGACCAGTTCACTGGGGAATTCTCTGGAATGCTGTACTTTCTAAGGACAGTCTGGCGACGCCTTGGGACGACGCCTGTGTCCTGAGGCGTTCGCAGCAGAGCGCAGGAGGTGAGCTTGCACTGAACCAGAGAGCCTGGGGTTGTGGGTTAAGAGAAAAAGTGCATTTCTGAAGCGAAAGAGAAAAACCACCCCACCCACCCCGGCAAACAGCAGGCGTCCAGTCCGAGACTAAGCTCTTCACTTTCCTGAGCTCCGTTCGCCTCCGCCCAGCGCCCGGGGGCAGCTCCGGCCACACTCCCGCTGCTGGAGAAGGGAAGGGAGGCCCCCTCCGCCCGAAGGTGTACTCACCTGCAGCTTCCTTTTCTTCCTGGAGAGGCTTCCCGTCCAGTCGCTGATGCGGCGCATGCGGGCTTTGAGCGTGTCCTTCTTGGAGGCGTCCTCGGTCAAGGCCTTGGACTTGCGGCAGGGGAGGGTGAAGGACGAGTACGGGCCCGGGTCCCTGCGCTCCACCCGGGACGGCACGTCCATGTCCGAGGCGAAGGACACGCGGTGGCTGAGGCTGGCGTGCGTGCCCACGAACTCATCGGACAGCCGCAGGCCCGAGGGCGCCGGGCTGGGGTCGGGGTAGAGCTCCCGGAGCGAGGACAGGGACGAGCTTTGGTTGAACGGCTTGGGGGCCCCGGGCGGCGGGAAGTCGGCGGCGCAAAGGCCGGGGGCGGGCGTGCCGGGCACCGGGAAGGAGCCCTCGGCCTCGCTGGCCTCGCTGGCCTCGCCCACGGGGCCCCAGGGCGAGTCGTACCAGGACGACTCGGAGCTCAGGGAGCTGCCCTTGCTGGAGCGCGGCCGCGAGTCCGGGGGCGAGTCCGGCCCGGGGCCCAAGGTGGGCGAGTAGCGCAGCAGCCGCACGGGGCCGCCCGCGTCCCCCCGGGGTCCCCTGCCCTGCTGGCCGCCGTTGTGGAACTCGACCCGCAGACAGCCGTCCAGCTTCCCCAGCGTCTTGATGAGCACCCGGGGGCTCTTGCGGTCCTCGCCGGGCGGCGTGGCTGCCACGCTCTCGTTCCTCCCGTAGCAGTTGAGAAGGTGCCCACTGCAGTCCCTCGAGACCGCGAGGTCAGCCGCCCGCTCGTGCCCGACGTAGTGGAAGCCGTTCTCTGCAGAGAAGGCCGCGCTGCTGCTCTGGAACTCGTTTCCCGAGGCGCTCGTCCTGTGCTTGGGGTAGGCGCTGCTTTTGGGGACTTTGCATGTGGGTCCGCCCAGTCTGGATGCGTAAGGCTGATTGCTCTTAAAGTGAGAAAGGCAGCTTCGGGCCAGGGACCGGGACTTGTAACCCGCTCCGCTGCTTCCGTGACCCCATCCATGCAGTGACTTGTCATCCTTCCCATGAATGCTGCGTATTTTCAGGGAGCAAGGCTTTTGCTCAGCACCAGTGTTAGAACTGCTATGATTTTTAGAACCTTGAAGGGTGTACTGACTCTCAGAGTTCCCCATTGTAACCTAAATTAAGAACAGTAGCATCAGTAAGAAACATGACCTAAGTTACATTCCACTGTGACAGAATTTTCTAAAAAGTAAAAAAAAAAAAGTTCCACACATTACAAAACAACTTTTTTTTGGTGTCCCACACAAGTCAGAGAAATAGGGACAAAAGTTACCTACTGAATTGATTCTCCTTGTGCCATGCAGGTCATCAACCAAGTAGACAATATTGCACACCCACGTGCTAGTTACTTTAAACACATAATTTTTTTGTATGATATTAACTCGGACATCAAATAGGCATAAAAATCAACTTAAAGCAGAGGCCTCCTTTAGGTGTGGCACTGAGAGGTTCTGAATAAATGACTCTTGAACAGAAACATGAAGGAAAGCATCTTAGTTCAGGTACTCCAAAACACCAGCTCCTCAGTGACCAGAGACAATGACTTCTACCACACGCCAACTGCTAGAAGAGCAAATACCACACCCCAATAGAGGAGACTACTGCTCCTTTTTAATAACATGAGTCTGGGGACCACACTCTGTTGGAGCTTTGATAGAACACACAGAATAGGAACACCACAAAAGGAGTCCCCAAAAACTAGGCTGAGATGAAAACAGGGGTGGGGTAAAGAATAAAAGTTCTCATTTGGGGCAGAAAAACACTTTAATAAAACAAATCTCTAGTGCTTGTCTAAAGCCTTTGAGGGTCCTCAATTTAGAACATGATGAGGAAACGAAGTCGGAAGCTGATTTATCAGAATATGGATGTCTGAAAAATATTTAGATTCTTTTCATTCCCTGTAAAACCCCAATGTGTTCGATTCGTCTGTTACTTAAGCCAAACACGCAAGTCGAAATTTGAGCCAAACCTTCCCGTTGGGTTTTTCACCCTAACCGGTATATCACTATTTGAGGCAAGTTAGAAATCATGTTTCCAGTTCCATTTCAAAATATATTTAGTAGGTTTTTACTTTTAATTCTTTTACACCTAAAGAGTGTACACCCACAAAACAAAAGTCAAATGGATTGACTTTTCTTTGGTGGGAGTTAGCAAACACAATTAAAAACAAAATTAACCAGACTGAACAATGAAACTTACTTATTACCTTGATCACAGTCTTGCCACTTGACGTGAACCACAACTCATGTGCGCTGGCTTTACCTGAAGTCTAGTCTGTGTTCTGAGGGAGATTAAAAGTCAGAAGGCTTTACCAGGTCCTAGAAAAAGGCAGCATGGTTAAGTATGGTAAGTGAATCCATGAAACGATCCTGAAAAACAGAAATACAGGAAAACTGTCAAGCGGTTTACACTGAGCTCCCAGAAGGTAAAAGCAAAGGTTTCTTATAAATTACATGAAGAAACCACCAGTGTCCACAATCACTGTCAGAATAATAAATGAAATGTCTGTGAACTGCTTGATTCATCAGAGGTGTTGGAAGATATAAATGAAGCTAGAACTGCCCAGCCAATCTTGTAAAGGCCATTAACTCAGCACACAGACTGTAGTCCAATGCATGCTTTTGTTTCAGGGGAGGGCAGGTGAAGGCACTGGCATGAGTCACAGCTTGTCTGTCACCACCATTAGGAAAACAACTTGCAGACTCTGCACACCGACCTGATGGCAGGAGCATCACCCTGATAGGACAACAGTGCATTGTTCTCTATTTGACTCAGTAGTAACAACAAAACCCCAAATGCAGAATCACAGTGAAGTAACTTCCCTTTTATAGGTTGACCCCGTATAGGAGATTAAAAGTTTATCTCCAGCGTATGTCTTGGGTCTTTCCACACAAGAAGCAGGAGCAGGAGGCCCACCTTGGAGGGTAAGATAACAGCCTGGGGGAGCTGCCATCTGGCGGGGCTCACTCCCGGCACACAAAGCCTGAACGTTCTCGAAAGACAGAGCAGAGCCGTGTGGGTTCAAGTGGAACTTTCTCCCTATTCAAAAAAAAAAAAAGAAGAAACTTATTTATAACTGTGTTAAAATACACGTAGAATAAAACTGACCATCTTACCCATTTTAAACTGTACCGTTAGTTGCGTTAAGTGCATTCGTATTCTCATGCGGCCAGTCTCCAGAACTCTCACCTCACAAAACTGAAACTCCCCACCCTGCTCCCCGGAGCCCCGGCTCCCACCGTTCTCGAGGTATCTCATGGAACGAGCATCACACAGCAGCATTTGTCTCTTCGGGACGAGCCTATCTCCCTTAGCAGAATGGCTTCCAGGTTCCTCCATGTTATAGCTTATGTCAGAACCCCCTTCCCGTACGAAGCTGAGGCATGTTCCGCTGCATGTGCACACCCCATCTCGCTCATCTACTTCTCCCTCAGTGGACACTCGGACTGCTTTCCGCTGTTGGCCCTTGTGAATGATGCTGCTACAAACGTGGGTAGACAGACTCCTCTCCGAGACCCTGCTTTCAGTCCTTTGGGGTACATACCCAGGACAGGAACTGCTGACTCCTATGGTAATCCTGTTTAACATTTTAAGGAACCACCATCCTGTTTCCAGAGCAGCGGCACCACTGCGACACCCCCATTGACCGCATCGGTGGAGTCCAGTTCCTCCACACTCTCACCAGCCCTGCGATTGTCTGAGTGTTTGACAGCGGCCGCCGACAGGTATGAAAGGTATCTTAGTGCAGCTCTAGTGTGCACGGTCTCTAATGACTAGGGATGCTGCCCATCCTTTTATGTGCTTGCTGGCCCTTCGTATAGCTTCACTGGAGGGCTCCACAGTGACTTTTTTTTTTTTTTTAAGATTTGATTAATGTATTTGACAGACAGAGATCACAAGTAGGCAGAGAGGCAGGCAGAGAGAGAGAAGAAAGCAGGCTCCGCGCTAAGCAGAGAGCCCGATGCAGGGCTCCATCCCAGGATCCTGGGATCATGACCTGAGCCGAAGGCAGAGGCTTTAACCACTGAGCCACCCAGGCACCCCTCCACAGTGATTTTTAAAGTTAATGAAGCACCAGCCCTAAGTTCCTCCAATAAGGCCAAACACACAAGTCTGCCTGAGACTACTGTATAGTCTCACGTGTCCACTTTAAATTGGGGAGTTGGGGGGAATATCAAAAAGATCTTTCACTTTGGCAGTAATAGGAGGATCTTCGAGCATCTCACTCATGTGGCCAGAAACAGCACCTGCTACGCCACTAACCACTTCTCTTTCAGCGGGTGCCCTCACACATCTAAAAGAGGCAACAGCCACTGGTTGAGATACCACTAAAACACGGCCCCCGTGACCACTTTGACAGCAGAGCTGGATCACAAGAACTCCACCTTTTTTTCTTAGAAGGGGACAGGGGAGGGGGAGAAGGAGAAAGACAATCCTAAGCAGGCTCCACGCCCAGGGCAGAGCTCGACACGGGGCTCCATCACAGCCCTGAGATCACGACCAGAGCCAAAACCAAGAGTCGGACACTTAACCGGCTGAGCCACCCTGGCACCCCAAGAACCCTACCCTTTTAAAAGCTCAAAATCTGAGTTGTCAGTATTTTCTCCGCTACATCTTAACTCAAGGAACTCCAAGCGGCAGAGTCACCCCTGGCTGCCGCCACGGAGACCTCTCCCACGAACTGATAGCGGGGAGCCTCTGAACTTGTTTACTTTGCTCAAGACCAAGGCCCGGTGATGACCCCAAAGGTGAAAGGCTCCAGGGTCACTCACCCACAGCCGCCTGCTTTGTCAGGCCCTTCTGCTCCGAAGGTCACGTGCCTGAAGACCAGCACACACAGCCCTGGCGTCAAGCCTTCCAACATCAGTGGCGCAAAACTGCCACTGAGAGGCCCCTTTGTCAGCTGCTCAAGGACACACAAAGGCCAGGAGTCAAAGCACAGAAGGGCTCCAGGGCAGAAGCTCAGTCCCCAATAGCAGGTTATAACCTCAACGCTTCATATTACTTTTGAAATTAAGTAGCTTAATTTTTATGTCATGTTATGCTTCAAAAACATAGCCCTGGACCCTGTCCCTTACAGGACACTGTCCACGCGAGGCCTGCCATTTTGGGGGCCCATTCAGTACACACCTGTTGAACTAAATGAACCAACTTCACGTGGCAGAAGGTTGAGCAGGAATGAGCAGGAATCATTCCCAAAGGGTCTGGCCAAAAGACTGACACATATGCCCACAAGGGCATGTTTCCATACTGAACACAACACTCCCTAGAGAAAAGCAAAAGGGGGTTGACGGAGACGGGGAACAACGTGCATTGTTGCCTACGGAAATGCCTACCAGCTGTTCAACATCGTCAGCCAATCCTGGCAGAAGAAAACCAGCCTTCAACTAGAATGAGAAGAATTTATTCAATATTTATGAGGAATTTATTGACAGGGTCATTTCTGAGGGAAACAATTACCCTGAGGAGTTTGGCAAATTGAACAGATACGAACGGTCATGTTTCCGCTGTGATTTTTATCTAGAAAAAAGAGAATAAATAGGTCAAATGTTCAGCACCCCTGACTCCTTTACCAAAGGAATTTTATGGTAGTTAAAAACTTTTTTGTTGGGCGCCTGGGTGGCTCAGTTGGTTAAGCCACTGCCTTCTGCTCAGGTAGTGATCCCGGAGTCCCAGGATCAAGTCCCACATCGGGCTCCCAGCTCTGCGGGCAATCTGCTTCTCCCTCTGACCTTCTCCCTTCTCATGCTCACTCGCTTCCTCTCTCTCCCTCTGTCGGTCTCAAGTAAATAAATAAAATCTTTAAAATTTTTTGTTGTTGTTGATAGAGAGGGGGCTGAAAATACAAAACAACAGATTCCCCTTTTTTTTTTTAAAGAGAAGAAACAGTTCAAAGACCCCAGTGTCTCTAAGCAGAAAAAATAGATATTAGGTACACTAAGCTGTAATAATCTGTATTAGGAATGCCTCTGTGTAGTAACACGCATTAGGTATGCTAACCTACAACTGATGTTAATGGGTATATAAATGTGCATCCAGGCCCCCAGCTGACTGAGAGAGAATTCAGGGAAGACATTCTGGAATAAACGATATGCTGCAAAGACTGTGTGTGCTGAGCAAATACTGCGTGTTGCATAAACACTTTTTTATAATAATTCTTTTATTTATTGTATAATAAAATATCACAATTTTTAAAAATAGACCACAATCTCATGAACCTAAAAGAAAGACAAAAACGTCCTTGTCTTTGGTTTTTTGCATTCCCTTCCAATCTCCAATTACATAAATGTGCTTTTTAAGCTAAAATCACAAATAAGAACTAGGTTTGTTCTTATTAAAACTGTGATCAATGACCACCCCCCAGAAATGTGCGGCGATGTGAAGGAATTCACAAATACGTCACCATGAACCCAACAGCCACTGGGACCTACTGAATCCACAGAAACCTCTTTCAGGAGGAAATGCAAGATTTACCTTTTCTTCATTTGCCTTGAACTGATGTGTTAAGATTCCCAAAGTCTCCATTTCTATGCAGTATAGAGTTTACAGCAGAGGAAAGACTGCTTTGTCTCTGGCCTGGGCCAGCTGTCAAAAAGAGCAACTAAAGGGGAGTAAGAAGCAACGCCCCCGGGGGCCAGATGGCTCTGTGAGGAGGACCAGGACTGAATGGGGACAGCAAGCACAACAGAGGTGTGGGGACTCTGCATAAAAGCAGGTTTATGGCTGGGCAAGGCAGTGAGGGAAACTCAGGTTCTACCACCATGAGACACCAACAAGGCTTCTCATGGAATTCCAGAGAGATTTTCATACTGAAATAGGAGCTTCATCCTTGTCCAAGGCCAACATTCCAGATGGTGATAAGAACTAAGAAAAAAGATGAGAATACGACTAGCCATCATTAACCGTAACAGTATCTACCTGGTGTCCTTTATTTGGGGGTAGGAGGCTGGAGAGGGGGTACTTTGATTATTAAAAAGACAAATCTCAGATTCCTACTCTAGTTTGTGTCAGAGAACTTGAGTTTAAGACCTGTTTCCATCTCTTAAATAGCACTAGTCTTTGGGCAAATTACTTACGCTCTCTGAATCTCATTTCCCCCACTTACAACTTGAGGATAAAAATATCTACCCTACTTACCTCACAGAGTGAGACTAGTGGAAATATACATGAAACCACCAAAAAAACCTGGGAAACACAGCACACATCCATAGTACTATTACTAGCTTTAGTTTTAAGTCTAATTTTGTGTACTATGATATCAAATCTTAGGACCGTTTGTTGTTCCATTTTATTCACTATCAATTATGTTAATTATTATATATTTGTAATCTTCCAAGTTCTGTTAGCACATTTCTGATTTTTTTTTTTATCAATTCTCCAAATAGTAACAGCATGTAAAACTACCTTGTGGGTCCGAGGTCTGCCAAATGTCAACAAACGCAGTCACATAAGCCACGTCCTTATGTTATTAGACAGTCATGATAAAAAAAAAAAAATGAGGGGCACCTGGGTGGCTCAGTGGGTTAAGCCTCTGCCTTCAGCTCAGGTCATGATCTCAGGGTCCTGGGATCGAGCCCCGCATCGGGCTCTCTGCTCAGAAGAGAGCCTGCTTCCCCCCCTCTCTCTGCCTGCCTCTCTGCCTACTTGTGATCTCTGTCTATCAAATAAAGAAATAAAATATTTTTTAAAAATGGATGAAAATAACCTAACCGCTCAATGAACAACTGGTATCACTTTAAAGCAGTCATTCTCAACACCACATCAATTTTGGCCCCATGGGGACAGTCGGTAGCATCTGGAGACATTTCCAATTGTCACAACTGGGGTCAGGGCATCTGGTGGGTGGAATTCCGTCCATGGCCAACAGGATGGCCCCCATTTGTTCCCTGACCCAGTGTGTCAATAGTGTTGAGTCTGAGAAACCCTGCCTTCAAGTTTTCCTGCCTGTCTTATTAAAATGGCTATAACACAAGAATATGCTGAAAAATTGGAAACAAATGCATTCATTGCTGCCAGGATCCA